CTCGTGGCCCGTGTCCCCGAGCGCTGGTGTCACCGCCGACCGCGGAGGAGGCGGCCCCGAGCGAGCTCCCAAGGGACTCCCCGAGGCCGAGCCGGGCCCCTGTCAGATAACAGCGTTGGAGTACCAGGGTTCAGCGCAGCCCCACGAACTGAGGCAACGGGAAGGGGCTTTAAACGGGGATCACCAGACACAAACGCTGCCCAGCTACACCCCGTAGTGAAACACCAGCTCTGCTGGGATCGCCGCAGAGAGAAACTGCCCTTTGGGTTCTTTCTGGAATTCATCCTTCTGTTCTTCGAGGCTTCTCTCTGCCTTACCTGACTCGGGTGAGAGGCCCATGCCCTCAAAGCTTGCCTCAACTCCGTTACACTTCCTTCATCAAGTAAGAATGCTGTGAGACGAGGTAGAAGTAAACGGGAGAGGACAACACTATGAAGTTCTTTTTCATGGGTGAGATGTGATGTGCAGGTAGGAGATTGCATGAGAGGAGGGGATTACTGGGTACAACAGCAGAACTAAAGCCAAAACTGCTCATCTTCACTAGCCCGAGTCCACACTCAAGAGTATTGCAAACCATATTGTCCTGTCTTTGGATCTGCCCACTTCAAACAGAAGCCATTCCTACCACCCTACAAAAGCATCATCAGCTAGTGCTAAGGATGGGGCAGCCACCTAAGATATTATTTTAAAATGGGTATGGACTCAAAAGTGGGCTGGGAGCTAAGCCAGGCTGGCAAATGTGTCAGCTCATGGCAATGCTTCTGTCCATCCCTAGGAATCCATCCCTGCCAGGGATGGTACCTGATCTCGTTCTTATTTAGCATCAAGTAGGTTAAATCGAAAACCCCCTTCACTGCAGTGGTGATGAGAAAGCAAGGGAAGGTTTATCTGCTCCAGCTCCTAATTTTCTTCCCCCTCCTTTTCTTGGTACTGATCAGAGAGGATAGCATGTTGCACCAGAACTCCTTCATGTTTAAGGAAAGCATTCATTTGCTTCTGGAGCGCATCCCATGATCCCTGTTGGGAAACACCCAACGATCCCTGCTGGAACACACTCTGTGATTCAGCTGGATCACTGTTAGGAGCTCAGACATCAGCTCTTTGTGTCCTCTCTCCAAATGTAACATCTTCCTTGGATGAATAATCTCAAACAGCCCACATGACCTGTGTGTTGGGCAATAGACAGAAGGAAACCAATAAAATGCAAAACATTTATTCAAGTGTGTTGTACAAAAAGTTTCCAGTCATAAAATGTATATTACAAATCATTGAAAAAGACAAGACATTTGGCATGCATATTCTAAAAAGAAAAAAAAACAAACCACTTTGAAATGATAAAGTCTAGGTTATGATGTAGTTTTTCTAAGTTTTAAGTGAACACTTTCATTGTTTTGTTTTTGTGTTTCTGTTAACAACCTTTTTCATAATTCTCTATTTAAAAAACTTGAACCTTCCAAAAACATGTCTGCAGCAGCTGACTGGAGGTGGTTACTGCAGTGCCCTCAAGCCAGACCTATCTAAATCAAAATTTTATTAAAAAAAATATAAAAATAAAAACCACAATTCAAGTCACAAGGCATCACTGCTATGAAAATAAAATATCAACTGTATTTTGTGCCCAAATGGAAAACATTTTGTCTAAAACTTGCTCAAAATAGATTATTGCTTGTAATTTTAGTGTAATGATCTGGGTAGCTGAATATACAGTAACATCTGCATTACCAAGATGGACTTGTCACTTCAGTAATAGCTAACTAGAAAATCTGGAAGTTCAGTAAGTAACTTCTTATTTTCTGTAACTCCAAGTCAATTCACTGCTTGTGCTATTCTGAATGGAGGCTTTCACATCTTTTTCACTCTAGACCTTAGCATTTCAAGAAAGGCATTATGTTTACAAATAATAATTGCATGTAAATATGATCTTGTATAAAAAAAACCAACAAACAACTTTAAATAATTTTAAACTGGTTTAAAGCTAAGCATATTGAAGGACAAATAAAAATTCTGTTTCCCAGGCCATTTTAAATGAGAAAACAATCTCTCCAATATAATTTGTTCTGACATTCAGATAAAACAGTGCTTTGAAAAATGCAATCACTGTCTCACCTTCCGCTCACTGGTTCACAAGGCTTTGCTCACACAGAGCTTGGACCCAACAGTATCAATAAAATGCAGGACCAAATATGGATATGTCTTTGTTTAGCAATAAGACTTTCAAAAGAAGATAGAGAAAGAAGAGATAGAATGGTTTAACAATGAAGACATGAGAGAAGTGGCTACAAGAGATCTAGAACATACACCATGCATGTTTTCCTGCATCATCAAAACCTGTCTGATGTGCATAAAAGTAATAGATTCTCCAAGGTCCTGGGGTGTAGAGAGGATTTTTACACATCTCTTCTAACCTGCAACCTCTGTTCAGGTTGTAGTTAAACACCCTTTATAGAGGATGAGCATTAAAAAAGAAAAAAAGAAGTGTATAAAACCCAGTAAGATCCCTGAATGGAACATGAAGTGTCTCATTGCCTGAGGACAGGCACCACACATAGTGATCTCCTTTCACACTGCAGCACAATTCCCACACTACTGTCAGCTTGCACATATGCTCAGCTGGCTTTTACATCACAGGAAGCAGATATTTGTATTATTCCTGAGACTTTTGGTTCCTACTACAAACACAGACTATGCAGCCAACTGTCCATCTAATGGCAACACAGAGCTGAAGACAAGTGAGCAACATGTCAGTGCAAATGATTGCTTCTGTCAGAGCCAAGCTGGAGCCCCATGTAGACATAAAGAGACCTGCTGGGAAATAGAGCTGGGAAGCAATAAGGGGAACAGGAAATACAGCTGTGCAGCAGCAAAAGAATCACAGGAAATGCAGATGTGCAGGAACAAGGGAATCCCAGCCACTCCACTCCTTGGAGTATATCATTGCAGTGCAACAGTTAAAGGAACAAATGCAGAAGCAAGGAAAAGTGGCATGAAGTGACTGTGCAAAGGACTCTGAGGCCACAACTCACTCCAGAAGGCAGCACACTCCTGACAGGTCTGCAACT